TTCTCCCCACCTCATGAGAAGGAAGGAGCGGCGAGCTGACTGTGACCCCCATCCCCGGCCCCCTGCGCCACTGGGGGAGAAGGTAGAGAGATCAGGAGCAGAGCTGAGCCCGGGAAGAACGCAGGAGCTGGGAGAGGTATTTTTTGGATGTGGTAATGCTTCTCACTGTCTGTATTCTGTTAAGTCACTTGTCTATTACCTTGTGGTTTTTTTAGTGATTGAAAGTGATGTTTTCTTTTCTTTTCTTCCCCTAATGAGTCTGTCTTTTGACCGTGACCCCAATGGGTAAGCACCCCTGAGCCATTGTGCTTCATTTTCTCCTTCCCATTCCTGAGGGGGAAGGGGTGAGTGAGCAGCTGCGTGGCACTCAGTTGCCCTCTGGGCTCAAAACGAAACAACTGGTGTTAAGCGGTACATTCCCGATTTCAGTGACATGGATAGTTGTTATGAACTCATCACAAAACAGCAGTCCACTGCTCTCAGCCTCTGCTGAGAGAGGATCTGACCCTCAAGCCATACTCAATTACCTCTGCAATTGCCAGACGCAGTTGCTGGAAGTAACAGGAAAGCTTAGCAGGACTAGCTACAGTTCCTGGAGCTGTGGTTTAAACCCAGAGGTCCTCCTGTTTCAGCACATACTTTAAACACCTTCAAATCTTGCTTAATCTTATTGCATCATTTTAAACCTAGTGATAATAAGCAGGTGCAAACACTTGCCATGAGTTATATGTTGGTTGTGAAGCAGGAGACTGCTCAGGTGTACATGGCTGAAATTTCCAAGATTCCAGCATAAACCTGCTAGACATTATTAACACAGGTGCAGCTCCATAGATGACTATACAGGTCTCTACCAGAGAAAGTGAGACCTGTACAACTCAACTTCAGGTGTCTCCCAAAAAACGGGAGAGTAGAGCTTAACCCACATCTACAATTTTCCAGTACTCAACGACCAAAACACTACCCGTACTTATAAGAAATGTAGAATAGGTATTTCAAATGCAGCAGGTATTTCCACTATAATCTGACAATATCCTGCATGGCACATCAAATCCCTGAGAAAAGTGTTACAAATGTTGGTTATTGGATAGCAAAAGAAAAAGCACTGTGTTGCATGATCAAATCGAACTTTATCTAGACCAGCATCTGAATAGCAGTAAGATGTTCCAGAATTGTCTTCTGCCTATCTAAGAAATAATAGACATATACTATAAAAATGACTAGTGCTTATACCATTGCAACACTAATTAACCCATGATTTGTTCAGATTCATTAGTAATGCAAAAGGTTTGGCTGTAACTCATTTGTAAAAGTATTATTAATCACAGATTATAGTAAAACAGTACAGTAATGGTATTATATGTCTTCCTTCTATTCAGTAACATTATTCTCTAATGATAATCCATGCGTGATGTAAAGGCAAAATATCAACAGAGCAATGAAAGTCTCATGATGAGATCGCAAGTAGTTTATGCTACCAAGAAACCACAGCTTAAAGGTGATTAGAATACACAGTAATGGTTCTGCTCCTGATTCTCAGCGCTTCTAGATGCACCCATTTTTTATCCATCTGTAAAGTCACTGAGTTCAACTCACAGTCAACCTAATCATGACACTACCTTGTGCTATAGACTGTTTACCTTAGCTAAGTAAGCTTGGCTCAGCTGCACCATCAGCTCTTTTTCTGTAAAAAAAGACTTCCTCACAGAGTCCAGTCTGTTACAGGTCAGGATCTTTCAATTACCACATTCAGTGGAAAACATTTTCAGCAACTGTCATAAATTGCTGGATGCAGCTGAAACTATAGATCTGAAAAGGAACAAAGAATAACTTAGAAAAAGCACAAGGCACATTGTATGTATTTTTGTAAGACCAAGACATATTGAGTACTTGTTCATACTTTAAGATACTTAGCTTAAAAATCTCTCGTTACATATACCACCATCCTACCAGTCACCTAAGGCTGTAATCTAGTCATCATCAACACAAAATTCCCTGAAGGCTTTCCTATCTGTGCTGAATATTAACTCTCCAGTTTCATAAATTGTTAGAATCCATTCTCACACAGAGGGTGATCAACCAGTTTCCATATTCTGGTTTCTCAATCACTCCCCCCACCTCCCTCAAAAAATACTAACTTCCCCCACTCACCTCCCACCACATATAACATTCACACACAAGCTTTTCTTCCAGCTGTGACCACATCTTGTTTTTCTTTTAATTCTTCCACTACCTCCAACAAGTACAAGCTATTCTCTTAATTTCATATGTCCTTTGTTACTCTATCTGCACCATAATGTGACATTTAAGTTTTCAGCAGAGATACAAGAAACCACTTTAGGGAAGGTGAAATGTCTATATGACGTTTCACCCACAAAACATCAGTAGCATAAATTTTCACAGAAATAAGTGGGAACTACATGGACTTCCCCCCACCCCAGCAAATCAGCGTAAGATATTTGGTAGCTGAAGTATTGAGCTGTGAACATTTTAAACCAAGTGATCTTCCTTGGTCATGTATGTTAAATATACACTACTAATTATGTCAAATTTCCCAAGAAACACAAGCTCAGACTCACAAGACGTTCAAAAATATCCAACCTGTAGTAACTCAAGATGCCTTCCAGAGCTTTAAAAGCAATGTTACTTTAAAACTATAGTAGGGAGCTTTTTATTTTTATATATGCACCACACTGGCCTAATAAAATATGTATTTTCACCATCTTAAAAAAGAATTTTGGTTTTATTTACTAGAATATACTAGTTTTAAACCAGAGCAAAGCTCTTGATGCTTAACAATTTTAAAGATATTTCTAAAGATCTGTTGCAAAGATGATGAAAAAAAATCTCAATAGTATCCACCACTGCATTTGAGTCAAGCTATTAGGAAGCTTGATGTGAGAGAACTGGAACATTCCCTTAGCTCTTTAAAAATAAAAAAAGCTCAAGCAAACCTTTGTTTCAACAGAAGTGCAGGCATTAGTTCTTGTTTGTCCATCGTCCAAGATATTTGGAATGGGGATACAAAACCATTTTCCTTGGGCAAGACTACAGATGTGAATCAGTAATGGCATAATTACAGTATGGTTACACAGAAGTTGCAGCTAATGAGAAACATCAACACAACTATTTTCAGTTTCTAGCAGTTAATGGAAAACTAGGAAGACCATCAACAAACTTCTAAGAGAAAATAATCACAGCTTTGAGCCCACGACTGAGCATTTAAGTGTTAGACATGAAGACTACTATAAATTTCCAACAAGAGAACTACTGCCATTTAGAATCTGCTATAATCAAGAACACACTTTAATCATATCTTGATCCTCGGTCACAGTTTGGGGATGCAGAGATATGCCAGTATTTCCTGATTCGGAGCCTACCTAGCATGTAGACTTCCACAGACATGTCACATGGCTGCTTATCACTGGATTAGCATTATTTTTCATTTCAAAGACACTGTTTTAGCAAGTATCTTACTTTAAGCACAAGTATGTCTGTTAGTGGGGAAAAGACTAACACTGTTTAGATCATCTAAGCACGATACTATGTCACTTCACAAGACAGAAGCCTGTATTAAATACTCATAAGCAAGGGCTACGGTGGCTTAAAGGAAGTATTTCTGAGGACTTACATATTAGAACCACAGAATGGGCAACACACTGATTTCTCAGAAAACTCAGCACACATTTATTGTCTCGAGGTCACAGAACTGTGGCAAACAACTGTAGAATTTGGTTTTTACCTTCTACATGGCAGTTACCTTAAAGTCACTATCCTCATTTCAACACTCAAATTTGTGCATTTAGTTTTTCTACCTTATTGCCACAATTCAACAAATGCACTTTAATTCAGTGCTAGAAGTGTAATCTACTCAAAGTACTTTCAAACTCAGACAAGTAAACTGAAATTGTTACTAGAAGTTCTTGCACCTGACTTCAGGCATGTCATGCTCACATGACTGCTCTTACCTCAAACCACAGGAGTTACACAGCTCAAACAAGTTCCGCCACTGTTTCCCAACAGCAACGACTTACACCATGACAAACGTGCTTGGCAAGTCAGACACAGCCCCACCTTTTCCCAGGCACAGTAACTCTGTTATGGCTATACCAAAGTTTTACCCTGAATTTTATCCTGCACAAGTCACAACCAACTTCCACTTCTGGAAGTATTTGCTCTGGAACAACCTCAGAAGTCTGGTGCTTGAGTGCTCTTCTAACTTAGCTACTGTTGTGGAAACAATCTGATCTATCATTAACACCAATGACTCCCAGACATGAAGTTTAGTCCTCACCCCTGAAAGCTCCAAGCTATGCAAAGGTCAGACTGGAATTTAAAGTCTTCCTTGTGCCCAAAAAGTAAGTTTTTTACTCTGGAACACATAAAAGCAATAGAAAGAACACATTCCTGAAACACCCAAATACAATTATTAGTTAGTAGATCTGAAGGTGCTAAATACAGACTTAAGAATCATTATCAATTCTATTGTGGCTTTTTACCTTCCTATACTTCATTCTTCCACATAATTGACATTGTCAGGTAAGTAAAATTAGAATACTGGGAAAGTATTATTTAACTCATCATGTAGTTACATCCTGGAAATACCTATTGAACACTTGCTGAAGATAAAAATTTAACATCATTATCTAGTTCCCCCAAGATGTCAACAGCTTGCCACTGTTCAAAGCCAAGCGAAGTGGTCTCTCAATTTCCACATTTCATGTTATATTAAACCACCAATAATTGTTTCTAGAATACAGGTATATTTCTTAAATTCAGTAGATTACAAAGTGACCTAGAGCACATGTAGCTCTGACCTGCAAACACTGGGAATTCACCAACTACGTTCAAAATATTCCATTATGCATAGAAAATGATTTTTAGAAGCCAGTTTTCTAATACAGCAAAAGGATGCTCTGCAGAAAAGCAAGACCTTTATTATTGGTTAGTATTTATGGCCCATTTTTTTCCCTGCTTTTATGATAAGAAGCCACACCAGAAAGTTTCTTTTCTATTTTTATTGTATGCCAAAGTTCATTAAAGATAGGGTTTTGCTTGTATACAAGTTACTCAAAAATTATGTCTAGGCAGAGATTCATTAGCTGACTTATTTCAAAGCACAGGTTTGTTCAATCAGGCCACAAAAATAATATTGTGTACAAGCAGTAACTAAAGAGCTGCAGGTTCAAGGAGTTTCCAAATATCACAGATCTTGAGATCCATCAGAAAAAAAAAAATCAAAGCAGTCACAATACAAAATAGCAGCTCCATGTAGCTTTTTCAAGTTTCAACTTTTTTCAGAAAATGACAGTTCAGTTTGCTTCATTCTTCGAAGCTTCATCGAAGTTTTCAACAAGATCTAGAAAAAGGTAAATTTAAAGTTGGACTCACTTCCACTTTGCCAAACTTTCCCCCCCCCACTCCTCCCAAAGTTCTACTTAATATCAAATGCTTACAACATGAAACACTTTCAGCTTACAGAATACAGATTAAATAACTTAAGAGCTTCAAGGTACATTCTTCTTGTTCAGTAAAGTAAGTTTCAGAGGGTTCATTATAAAGCATAATTCTAGGAGCGTTTAACTTCAAATATACTCATAACTGGGCCAAGTGATACTGAGAAGGTAGTTTCTTTCCACCCTTGAGTATTAAATAATTATCTTAGCCATAGCTCTTACTCCTACACAGGACAAAAATGCTAGCTCAAACCAGTAAGTCCCTCATAGTGTCTGAAAACAATGAAATAATCTGCCCACAGAAATTCTGTGACAGCAAGTGACTAGTCAATACCCTTACCATCCTTGGCCTAATCTTATGCTACAGTTGCTATCTCTCAGCAAAAGTCGTTTCCTTTCCCTCCATGGCATGCTTGTTCTTACCTGGAACTTCATCATCATCATCTTCACCAGTAGCAAGTGGTGCTTTTCCATCCACAGCTGCAAGAGCAAGTAGTTTAAAAGCATCAGTGACATGGTTTAACCCCAGCCAGCAACTAAGCACCACACAGCTGCTGCTCACTCTTTCCACCTCCCAGTGGAATGGGAAGAAGAATCCAGTAAGACCCATGGGTTGAGATAACAGTTTAATAACGAAAATATAATTTTTTTTTATTACCACTATTGCAATTAAAGGAATGTAACAACAAGAGAGGGAAATAAAACCCAAGACAAGACAAGTGATGCACAGTGCAGTTGCTCACCACCGACTGATGCCTCAGCAGCGACCTGTCCCTCCTGGCCAACTGCCCCCAGTCCATGCACTGAGCATGACACTATGGTATGGAAAATCCCTTGGGCTAGTTTGGGTCACCTGTCCTGGCCACACTCCCTCCCAGCTTTTTGTGCACTCCCTCACTGGCAGAGCACAGGAAACAAACATCCTTAGCTTAGAGTAAGCAGTACTTAGCAACAACTAAAAGATCACTGTGTTACCAACATCATTCTCATACTAAATCCAAAACACAACACTGCACCAGTCACTGGGAAGAAAATTAACTCCATCGCAGTCGAAACAAGGACAATCAGCCAAACTCACCATAGGCATCTTGATTAGCTGTTTTGCCTTCTGTTTTCTTAAAACATTAACCAAAGATTCAGAGCTAAACTGCAATGTTTTATCAAGTTCCCCTGCTGAATAAAAACCTTCAACTGACGTAGGAAGTTCACATTCCCTTTGTTACTGATAATGTTCAAACAGCGCAGTGGGTGAAGAGGTACTTGAAGATGTTATTGTTCCCTAGCAAAGTCAGAAGAATATGGGACTGGATGCACAATTTTACACTGCAGTGGTTGAGGTAACCACATATTCTGGATCACATCTCTGCTGACTCAGTAATTTCTTAACCATTCCCATTTTATTTGCCAAACCTAGTGAGACTTACCCATGTCCATCATAGCAGACCAATGAGCACCTGTTGAACTGCAGCAGTATAATGCTAAGAATAGGTATCTCAGGTCCCTTGGTGCCTGTGCCACTACTTTTACTGCTATTCTTAGCTGTACTACCAAGGGTAAGCTGTCTCATACTCTCTATCACTTCAGTTCTATCCTAATTAATCCTTCTCAGTTTTCAAGAAACACATGAGGAAAGAGATGGGTTCATACTAGAATTTTATCCTCATTTCTAGAGAACCGGAACAGGTGAGTGCATAAACTTTGGTCTAAAGACCTTGGGACAAGGTGACCACTAACCTTCCTTTTGTTTTCTAACAGCAGAAAATTGTTACAGCTTAAGTGCATCTTAGTGACAAATATGACACTTTAAAAGCAAACCATATTATTTCTTCCTAAATTGACTGCATTCTCTTTCATCCCCAAGACCAGACTAAGTTTACTTTATCAGCTGCAAATGCAATCATCAGACACTTTGCTCTTAGATGTCAGGCTTCCAAATCTAGCAGACAATGCTGAATCGAAAGTTTTGTGCAACTACTCTGGCATGCACCCAAAGTGGAAAGAAACAGTCATTTACTAGGTCATACAAAGCAAGCACTTTTAAACAAACTTCCTTAATATTAAAACTTCACAACTTAGCTTTTCCAGAATATACCCACCTTGTTATGAGATAGGGATCATTTTAAATCCCTCCAGGTTTTTTTTCTTTTAAGGCCTACTACTACCACAAGGAAGCCACAAAGGCAACATCAGAAAGGACGGACCTGAGCTCCATGGGGAAAGAAGCAGTTTACCCCACATCCTGAAGACTACTTCTAGGAGGATTTTTTTAGTGGAAAGTATCATCAACTTTAGGAATAGTGGCGGTCTTGCTGGCAGCAAAGCATAGGAAGAAAAAAATGTAACTATCAAGTTTAGAGCTACCAGAAGCTGGACACAATGCTATGCTTCTCCCATTTTCTCCATGTTTAGGATGTTCCACAACTTGGAAGGAATGCGCTTAAGATATTTCAGAAAAGCAGGAAGACGGTACATGCAGGACACAAGGAACGTTCCCAGTGTCAGCAAGCTTGTCTTTCACTCCTAATTCTCACCCTATAGTAGCAGTACCTTTTCCAAACACCACAAACTTAATTCCTTCCTCTACTTTTCCCACACAGTTTTAGGAAGAACAAGTGTTCATGTTCTTTTACCAATTTAAAGATGGAGTAGGAAGTTGGTGTATCTAGCTTAATGCTCATTCCAGTCCTGTTCTCTACACTGCTCTACAAAACACAGAAATTACAATATACTTCCTTTTGAATACTGTGTAATTCCCCCCTAGCTATCAAAAAGCCCATGCAAGAAATATCTTCACCACACCTGTGAGGCAGCAAAGCAATTGCAAGATGTCTGTCCTCAAGTCCCTTTCCCCATTACATACATTTCCATTCAAAGTATCAAAACAGACATACTCAAAGTTTATCTTTTTAAAATCTAACTCTTTCAGAGTAACTCATCTACCTAGCTTTAATGAACAACGTATGTCAAACTATGGTAGCCCAATCAAGAAGCTACCACAAAATCAAGCCTGGCTACTGCTTCCCAGTCCTAGACCAGCTGCAAGATACATTAACAGATGGCTCTGCTCTACGCAGTTATACTCATCATTGGATTTGAGCTGTAAATAAGATCTAAGAGTTCCATTTCTTTATAAGCATTTTATAATATGCTTGCAGACAGCAAGAGTGAACTGAATTTATCTGCTGCTATACAAGTAAGCCTCATGTCAGCTGTCAGCGTGAAATGCATTTAAGTTTCAACTTACACTGCTTGGGTAGGGCTTCTGCCAATCTCCTCAGGCTGGTCAGACTGTCAGCTCCGAGCTGATTTAAGATGCTAGGAAGCATTTCTGTCAGCTGCTTTGTCTCAGCATGGCCGGTAATAGTGAAAGTGTTAGCAGCCAGAGATGCCTGAACTTTAGGGTTATTGAAGTGAATGACTGTTCCTTGGTTGGTAAACATGTTTACCTGCAAGAAAAAAATCCAGTATTTGAAGCACCTTTGCAAGACTTATTTCCCATTAAATTGAAAAAAGTTCTTCAAGCTCAATAAAGACCTACTAATAATTTACAAACAAGTTTAGGATGTCATTTATCAATAAATTGATTTTGATACAGTTTCTATTCCTATACAAAAAACTACTCTTTCATTTGAATCAATTACCTCTTCAATTCCAGAAATATTGTTGACTCCCAGCTTCTTCAACGAAAACTGAAGTTTCTTGTCATCTGCTGTAGCTGTTCTGTGGACAACCTTCTTCTTTCTGCGGGCAGTTCCCTTCGCAAAAAAAAAGTTACAAATACTTTAGTTCTTCACAAACTCTAATCCTCAGGGCCGTGTAACTACTCTGCAGACATCTACAAATCAATTTAACGTATGAAGTTCTACTTCTGTATTGCCGTGCATACAACCCCAACCCCCAACCCTCCAACTGCACTGCAGCAGTTTCTCCCTTGCTATCAGGCAAGCTTTGCACCTCTGTGAGAAGCGCAAGACTTTAGAATCATAGAATATCAGGTTGGAAGGGACCTTAGGGATCCTCTGGTCCAACCTTTCCTGGCAAAAGCCTGGTCTAGAAGCAGTGTACCAGGTAACATTTACTCCACATTTCTTATAAGGATTCTGCAGCATCTTAAAAAAAAAAAAAAATTGCAAATTTACCCTTGTCTGTTATCATGGGCATAAAACTGAAGAATGAGCATAGTTTTAGCTAATTTCTGTAGCTGATGAGTTTTTCCTCAGATCATCTCTCTCAAGTTGTAGTGAAATTTTGATAATACTCAGAAGCCATAAAGTTATCAACACATCATTGACGAATGAGAAAACTCAGTATACCTATTTAGAATAAAAATTGAGTATTTCCCATCTGATGGACTTACGTATTTGCAGAACACTTGTTTTCCCAAAATATTTTATAAATATGTGTAAAAAAATACTTCTACATAGTATTCCAGATGACCCTTGTTTAGAAAGCAAAACAAAGAAAGGTTTTGTTCTCCTACAGATACATAGCTCTACATTTCTCTAGGGAAATAACTGTCCCATGTTAGAAGGTATCTATACCTACAAAAACACAAAAAGCACTGTTCTATACTTCATTGCACAATCATAAGTCTTCAGTAAAATCTGACATAAAATGTCTACGAATAGGTGAAACCAAGCTCCTTTTTGACATACTCTAATTACTAATCTAAGTCCTCCTACTCCAGTTGCCCATCTACCACATACTAGCAGTAAGAGAATGTCATGTCGCCCAGCCGTATAAACAGCTGCAATGCCTTTCTGAGTTAACTGGTAGAAGTTAGAAAACTGGCTGGACAATAAAGCCTCTAATTTAATCCAATTACAAACAATGAGGAATGATAATGGCAAATTCACACGAAACTAATACACCTCAGAAGTTTAGTGATTTGTCTAGAAAGCCTGATATTCATTCTCTGCTACTGTCAGGTAAGCACACACAGCAATTTGAAAACTACTAAAATAGTATAAATGGCTTTATTTTAGTACCTTGACTACCCAGGAATTGAGCCACATAAGGCATATGTTAACTCTATCTAGACAAAAGACCTTCCAATAAATTTCAAAAAATGTCTTGAATCAAAGGCTGGATAGGAACATGTACCTCCTTTTTACTCATTAAACATAGATATAAAACTTGAGACAATCCAAGTTTAATTTAAATGAACAGCGGCTGCTTTCATCTCCACAGATTCAACCTTCTAAAGATTACAGGTTTTTACTAAGCAAATTCTATCCTAATCATGCTGAGACATGCTGTTCACACCTCTCTACCTTTTTATTAAAGAGGAGTGGGTACAGCTGGCCACCAGTGGAATAGTACTGACTCATCTGCCACTCTAAAAAGATTTGGAAGAAGAGCCATGACATTTAGCTGTAGCTATATTCTACCCAAAAAACTCAAATTTCGTATAATAAAGTACTATCACAGCCCTCCACCTAAATATATGTAGCTTATTTGTAAGATCTGCAGCCTCACAACACCGTGAAAATCCTCCAGCAGAGGCAGTGTACAACCTTTTCTCACAAGAAGTGACTCTTTCTTCTTTGCCTCCTCCACACCCATCTCAACTTATATGGTGACAATGCCATGAAGAATCCCAGTAATAATTTCCAGTTATAAAAAAAAATTGAAGTCAAGTTCAGGCATTCAAAGTATTTCACAGGCCAATTTTAAACCTGAATGACAGCACCACCAGCATATTCTAAACTTTGCTTAATGGCTCCAAAAGATCTATATTGACCAGAGACCTGTAAAGAGCTGTAACCTGAATGGCTGCTCTTACGTGACAAACATTAAAAGCCTTTGTAGTCAATAAACACACACTAGTAACATGCACACAGTCAGCAATACAGTCATTCTCTGCTTATCCAGTAATCCATACACAGAATAAGCAAAATCACCAGGTCAGTTAATTACTACATTAACTCTGATTTAAGACTGCCTAATTTTACAGCTAAAGGGGAAAAAAAAATTCAACACAGGAATGAAAGCTTCTTGGAAACTGTCAATAAAAGTTCTCTTGAATAGTTTTACTCTAAAATGTTGTGTGCACACTTCCTTGGATACAAAAAAATTACTAACAAATTCTTGCCTTAAAAATTGACACCGATTAAAATATTTACTACCATGTGACTACGTTAAACATACTTTTTTACTTTCAGATTATAAGTAATAACAGAGCTACGTATACTCAGGTGGCATAACAAAATAAAGTCTTTGAGCATGTTAGTCTACAATTACACGAGCATGACAAGTACTGATTTTCAAACTTTGTCCTAGAAGGAAAAAAAAAAAAATAGCCATGGGCATCTTAAGGATATCTGACAAGAGTCTGGCACATAACCCTCTACAATCTGGTATGAAAACTACACCCAAGCTCACTTACTGTAATGTCTACTCACTTCCAATCCCGCACACCTCCTAAAACAGCCCACACAAGAATACAAGCTGTAACATAAGAGATCCAAACAGAAAAGGCAGAAGGTTCAGCTACTACATACTGCTTCTACAGAACCGACTCTAAAGATCCCCACACCACCGCAGCTTCCCCCGAGGACAGCCAAAACAATCTGAGAGCACCGACGGCTGCCCCTCACTCCAGTTTTTAGGACCCCCACCCGCACCTTCGGCCTAGTGTGCGCGCAGGGACACGCAGCCGGGCGGCTCCTACCTTGCCACCGATGCGCACTTGGGCCTGCAGCTTGGCGAGCTTTTCTTGGTTCATGATCGTTTCTTTCATCTGCAGAAGTAACCAGAGCGCCCACGGAAGGCGGGTCAGGCGGCGCCCGGCCCGGCGCAGGGCGGGCAGGGGGCTCCGCAGCCGCCCCCCACACCACGCACCCACGGCGGGAAGCGGTCGGCTCCAGCGCAGCGCCGCGGAGCCTCCCCCATCAAGGCCCACCCCATAGCCGCCTGCCCTCAGCCACCGCCACACCAACCACCCACTCGCAGCCCCCCAACACCCCACGACACCCACCCCCCTCACCCCCCGCCGCCTCCTTTGCACCTTCCCGGGGCAGAAGCGGCGGCGCCGGAGCGGAGGGAAAGGCGAGGGCCGCGGCACCGGGCTCAGCACGCGGAGGCGAGCGAGATGGCGGCCGGAAGGAAGGCACGGCGCGCCGCACGGCGCCGACGCCGCTTCCCGGGGCGGGGCGTGGGCTGGGGGCTGTCACGGCGGTTTGTTATCGCGAGTGGGCGGGGGGGCACGGTACGGGCTGCCGGTCCTCAGCGGCCTTAGGCCTGCGCCGAGCCGCGCCCCAGCCGCTCGCAGCCTCGCCGGCGGCGCTCCCAGCCGCGGGCGTGCCCATCCCCCCGTCTGGCGTTATCTAATATTTTCTTCTTCTTCTCCTTCTTCTCCTTCTTCTCCTTCTTCTCCTTCTTCTCCTTCTTCTCCTTCTCCTTCTTCTCCTTCTTCTCCTTCTTCTTCTTCGAAAACGCGTAAGCGTTGCGCTTGCTTGCTCGCGTGTGCGGCGCAAACCGCTTCGCCGTGCCCCTGTTTTCTCTCCTCCCGGCTCAGCCCCCCCCCCCCCCCCCCCCCCCGCCGTGTTTCGGCGCGGATTTTCAGGTGAAACTCCTCCACCCTTCTCAATGCCAGACCACCGCGTCTTTTTTCTTTTTTCTTTTTTTTTTTTTTTTTTTTCGGAAGGCTGTCTGTCAGCACTGCTCGTGTGGCAGTTCTTGTCTCCTTTTATTTTCTGCCCTGGGTGGTTTTCGCTCTGGCTTTGCATCCTCGGTGTTACCGGGCACCCGTGTGCCTCTGCCTTCTGCTGGCCACTGAACACGCTCTGCTTGCCCCCTGGTCCATCCAAAGCCTTTCTCCAGTGGGGTGTTTTCCATCACTGAGGTGTTAACATGTCCTTTTCCTGTACGCTGTCTTCCCAGGATCCTGTTCTGAGAACCAAATGCACAGCTTCAAGGCCCTAACTGAATCAGAGTTGCTGCTGCATTTCAATATTTGTAAACCCTGGTGGCAGAGAGCCTTCACAGCCTACAGTTTTGGTCCTCCACAGGTTTACTAATGTGTTGTATTTTTCTCTCCCTGAGGAGTCTGGTGGGACTGATACCACGGTTACCGGGAACTCACATGTCCGGCTCCAAGGACTGTTCTCACCGTGCAGAAGGCTGAGCAACCTTTGTAGGCTCTGGACACGTGTTGCATAGCAGGGCGCAGGAGCAGATTTGTGGGGAAAGCCTGGCGTTCTCATCAGTGCTACACATGCTGAGTGAGTGGCACAAGACAGGAAAAAACATGTTGCACTGTGGTCCTGCCCCCATTACCACTGCAACCAAAACCAGCGGGCCTCCTTAAATCAGTAAAAATCCTAATGACCTTCCCATCTCATCCTGTATTTTAATGCCTTCTAAACTAGTTTTTCTCTGGAATATCCTCAATAAACTATTCCCTTTGTTCTTGTGTCTGCAAGACTACATTAATTAATTTATCCTTCTTTATTGATTAACGTTAAGGCTCCCATGTTAGTAATTTCCAGAGCCAAGGCTTTGTCAAGACAGTGCTGTTTGTGTGTGTAAGTTTTATTTGCTCTTATGATATATCTTCACTACACTGGAGCTGAGTATTAATTTGCATAGAAGATTCTGATCGCTGTTAAAATTGAGACTTCTGTAATTAGTGAAAATTAATGATAAACCCGATATTACTCCATCTGGTGGTGATAGAAGGTCTCGGGGAGCTGATGATTCAGAAGGTGCTGTTGAAGAGCAACCTGTGCTTCCTACCAGGCTAACATCACAGACGAAAATTAGAGGTTGATCAAACAGCTATAAAGTATGGTGTGGGCACCTGTGGAAATTTGGTCCAGCACATCTGTAAAATTGGAATGGTGAATGAGTTTACTCAGAAAAATAAAATTTAAAAAAGCCCATATTACTGTATCTGAACTAGCAAACTCAGTATCTAATTCAAAAGGAAAGAAACAAAACACATTTGGGATCTGGGGAGAAATTTGGAGAGGGCAGAGTTTGTTCTGAACTAAAAAGAAAGCTTATAAATTTATTGCAAGATGAAACTGGCAATGTACCTGCAGCAAAAGGGAATAGAGCCAAGATGAAAAAAAAAAAAAAAAAACAAAAAAAAAACAAAAAAAAACCACAACAACAACAACAACAACAAAAAAAAGCAAACAAAACCCAAAACAAACAAAAAAAAACTTTCACTGTGGGCTATTGAAAGTAAAAGCAATAAATACTTCAGCTTCAGGTTTATCACAGTCTGCCATCAATATGTAAGAAAGATTTCAGAATTACTAGGCCAGCTGATGATTACTAACATGCAAAATGTTCTAATAGACTGAAATACTGAAGTGAAAATGAGTCACAGAAAGATTATTCCAAGATAGAAGCTATAGAAAGTGCCGTCCCAGCTGTCAGCCTAGGATTAACTAGGCTGGAGGTATGATCTCATATTCCCTCATGTGAGATTTCAAAGACAAATTATGCTGAAAACCACATCACTGAGTTGTATCAGGAATCAACTGAAGCAGTTCAAGAACTTCAGTTCAAGGGACTCTGTAAGATTTGGTTACATTTCCTGGATCAAACAGCAGACCTTCAAAAAACAAACTTTGCATCAGAGAATAAGTATTTTAGAATGCTAAAATAGTATTGGCTTGTTTTCTCCAGTCCTTTTTGTCTAATTGCATAATGGGAAACATAAACCTAAACCTGGATTGAGTTGTAGCTGGAGAACTTCTGTTGAAAAATGAAACAGATCCAAAGGCTGCAGCACTGAAAAGGAGCCCAAGCTCAGTAAGCATTTTTTCAGTTCTGAAAAAGGGTAAGTTAGGATCTCAAAACTATTAAAGAATATACATTGCTAAAGCAAAGTTCATTAGCTGCACAGAAGCAGCATAGGAGTGGTAAAAGACCATTAAACTGGTTACTTGGAAAAATTGTCTCCTAAATGATGTGGAAGTTTAAAAGCAGAAGAATGACAACATTTGCTGTCAAAATGCCAGTGGAAAAGCTCTCCTGAAACACATGGCCAGTGCTGCATAAGTAATAACAGGAGATGTTGAGGAGAGATGTTAAGTTAATATCATGTTCAGGAAACAAATCACAGGTCATAGACGTAAGTGATCAGGCTAAAGTGAAGTAATACTTGTCCTGATTGCCAGTGGCCCCCAAAGAACACATATTCAGTGTATTTTCAAGCAGTGAAGGGAATCTGTCTGATATTCAAAATTTTATTAGGAAACATTTGTTCTAAAGAATGCCTTACTCAAGAATTCAGCACTCAAGAAAGCAGCAGTGTATGGCACATCAGCAGGGCACCACAGGGAATAATAATGTCATCATTCCTAATGTAAATGCACCAGGACATAGCGGGAAAAACACTAAGTTGTTTGGAAAAACATGCATATATGTTAGTAATTTAACGGAGGAAAGTAGCGGCATTATGGAGTACAGGAACAAAAGTGTTGTGAGAGATAAACAGAAAAGAAACCATCTCTGAAAGTCTAGACATAAGACTCACTGAAAAAATCTTAACTTTTTAAGAGAAAATAAGTATCTAAACATTGAATGGGAGCCCAGGAAGATTGAACTTACGTGCAGTGCTGTTTTCATCTCATATATTACAAAGTTGTACCACATGCTGGTGAGTTGTATGGAGTAATCCATAACAGACTTCAGTGTCAAGGAAGAGAGTGCTCCTCAGCAAACAATGTCCTTCTCTCACCATGCCTTAACTCTTAAACTCAGCAACCCAAAATACCTGGGCTTCAAGCCACATCACAATCCTTTTGTGAGCTCCGGGATGCCTCTCTCTGTTTATAACACCCCGCAGAGGCCAACTAGAGAGTAGTTGGAGAAGTGCTACATGAAAAAACCCCTGCCTTCACTGAAGGTTCAAACAGGCTTTGACAAATACTTGGGGGTTCATGTTAATTGGAATGGTAAAGGCTCATCGAGAAAGGCTTTCATGTTAATCTTAGTTAACAATGAATATCTTGCTAGGGAATAGGTTAAAGTCAGAAGTCACCATGTTCCTCACTGGCTGTGTGCAAAAAAGTTTGTACCTTAAATTTACGTGCAGATGTCAGAGATTCGAACAAGCAGATTATTCCTGTAGGCATCCTATACACAAAATTCAAGAGAACTTGATCATTTAAGAGCTAGAATCACAGAAATGTTTTGACCCCTGCTAAGACAATTAGTTACAAGTCAGAAATGTCATTAAGCCGTGATCCAAAATCAGCATAGTCCCACCCAAGGATGGCATGTTTAGGCCAGAATGAATCAGGACTAAACTTGCCCTGCTTTAGATGTGTAGCTGTCCGTGTGCCACCTTCAACAAATGTCTTGGCAGCTGTGAAGGTTCCATTCATTCTGGATTTTGCCTTTGGCGTTCTAGGCCTCCTGGTCCAGCGTGGTGCTTGGCAGGAGGTAAGTGGTGAGCACAGATGGGCAGAGGTGGGGAGGATGGACTGGGTGAGAACCTTCCTCTTTCTGCAGCACGTAGCTGTTATTTCGACTCAAGCCCTGGCAGGAACCCACACCCACTTGGGTTTAGATGGAAAAATCAATCTTCTCTATCTTTGATCGCAGTATAGCTTATCCCCAAGGATTTCTAAGTAAATGAAGAGCATACCTGCCAATATTCACTGCATTTATAAATTCACTGCATTCTCCTTCGGGGCTTACTTGCATTGCTACAGAATTAAATGGAAAATATCTCAAATATCTGAGACATTAACTATGGGATCTGCCTCCTAATTTGCCAGAGCTCATGTACGATTAAGAATTCAGGGCTTATGTGGAGAATGTTAGAAAGTTTTTCAATAGTCAGTGGAGTCATGAAATCAAATGTAACTTAAACAAACATGATTTGTCTGTGTGACAAGTACCCTGCTGTATCAGCTCTGATGGCTCTGTTTTGAAACACCCCCCCCAGCTATGGGAATAGACAGTGGCTTAAAAGAGTAGAAATGATAAGCTGAAATAAAAACTGGAAAAGCAAATTCAGGCATCTCATGCTGTTCTGGAGGATTATTACACTAATAAACAGCCTGAGCTGAATAGTAAAAGTAGAGAGGATGGCAAGGATTTTCAGGGATACAGAATTACTTCTGTGCTAGTCCACTGATTCTGAAGCAGAACCCCTC